ATCAGACAACCAAACATCCTAATATTATACCAAACAATGGACAACTTATCAATTTTAACAAAACAGAAGTCTCCACCATTGCTAATCAACCAACTAGCAACCAGAAATACTAATTATCTCCAACTTTAATACTACAGAACGATACTCAACATAAGACTAATAGCAAAATAATACTCATGACACTAAAAGAATGACTATGGAGCGACTCTAAGAATTCAAAGAAAGACCATAACGTTTGATGAAAATCTCTGCCCACGCGAACAAGTGCGAGGCTCATCAAGAATTTTCAACCTGTGCGCTCTAATTAACGAAATCCTCGCCTGCGTCAACTGCTGTCTCTGTAAAAAAAATTAGCGGGGAATGAGTCGCTAGCTCAGTGAGTAATAACACTTAACCACAACCGTTTTTATTTGGGGACAAGTCAGAAACATGCTAGTATCTCCAAGAGAAAATACATAAAAATGCCCTTTCAGAAACAATAAATAATTTTCAGCCTCATCATGCTTTCCTTGTAGTATAAAACAATTAATAATTCAGGAATAAGCTCGGTAACCACTGTATAATATCAATATTCAAATTTGGGAGGTTTCAATGAACGGATCATGTAATCGGTATAACTGTGGACTTCTTCGCAAGAAGTCATATATATAACGGTAGTCCCTACTCGAGGAAAATCGATAACGCTATGCTAGTTCTACCTTCCCACTAGCGAGGGCTATAACGATAATCGGTAATTACAAGGTGCACCAGGTCTAACGAACCCGCCGTTAGCTACGGGATCCTTCAAAGTCTACTCCCATTTATACTTGTCTCTGTAATCTGTATATATACTCGTAGAAACTATTTTAAAACAATATAGGGCATTTCAGTTCTTATCAAATCATATAATTTCCTTTCGATAACAGTAAATTCAAGTAACGGTAAAACAGGTCTAGTGACAACCAAAATATTTAAAACCACGGTATTCATCTCAAATAACTATTTCGGTATCATATCGGGTAAAAGACTTGTCCCACATGCAACTTAAATAATCGGTGACATATTCATATTAAAAATCATGTGTAAATCATGCAAGTTATGAAAACACAAATTGCGGTAAGATTGCTACTCACTATACTCGTGCCGAAATACCAAGCGCGCAACTTCGAGCGGTCCGTACAACTTCTTTCGATCAATCTATATTATCACAAACACTGGGTAAGTATCAACTTATGAACTACCAACATAATCGGGTATTATTCTGTCAAATTCCTCTTTATTCCACTTGAAATAACCTCAATTAGGCTGCCATGTCCCTATTAAACTAATTCTCTGTAATTCCTTCGTATCACCAATTCAACAACTAATCAATTTTATCATAAAAGCCCGTATCTAATACTGCTCCCTATAATTAAAGACCAAACTAAATCCCAATATTATAATGGAAGAGTTAAACAATATAAAACTAAAATTCTTCCATAATACTCACGTTGCTAGCTTGGTAGTTTCTTGTTACAACTCTTTGATGCCAAATAGAGCACTTTTTATTCAAGAAAACAACTGGTGCGTCTTGTTCCTCTTCAAGCCTCGTGTCCTTGTCTCTCCGGGCCAATAATTTGGTTTTGACTCCAAGTTGCTGCTAAACTTCTCGCTCTCAATTTGATTACCGATTAGAATTGTAAACGTTTTTCCATGTTTTCTTTTATGTACTCCATTTGTTGGCAGGAAAGTCCTTTCCTCTCCAAACCCTTATTAGTTCTCACGCCCTACTATTCTAATGGGCTTTGACCTCATAAGTTGCTTTATTTCTTTTCTTTTTTTTAATTGTTAGCTAAATGACTAATTTGTCCTCGGATTAAATTATGGGGTATTACACATGCAATACATGAAAGGATTTAGGATGCATTGCAACACTCCATGGCACCAGGTTGATCATGTCCTTTTTCCAATTAATTTGGCAGAAAGTTGGTATTGGATATTGGGGTGTGTGTCATTCCACAAGACATGTTTTTACGTATATGACTCGCTACGTAGTCGAAAGCACAAAAAAGCTATTCAAAAGGTGGCAGAGGCTTATGCTGTGTTGATCCCCCTATTTCTAGTTAGTATTGAATTTTATAACCAAAGAAGTGACATTGTAGTAGAAAATGGTCTGCACATGGGAAAGAATTTGACTGATCCTTTTGAGATTGAACTGATTACAAATCTGCCAACACAACAAAATTTGTAAGAATAGTTACTTTATTTATTACTTTGTTTTCCTCATTCATATTAACATTTTCACTCCTAATTGATTTTTATATTCTATTCATTTGTTTTATTTCAGAGATTGTGGAGTATATGTTGCTTGCTTTGCTGAGTATATTATTGAAGATCTTCCAATCCCTGTTGTCAATTTTGATGTGGATGGTCTCGAGCTAGGTTTGGTTTACTGTTGTGGCACTATGGGAGGAACAAGCAGTTGCATGGCGAATCAAGTGAATCTGAGGCTCCAGTAGCACCTAAAAAGACTCGTGGAAAGAAACGCAAGAAGTAGTATAGGTCTCTTTTTGGTTTTAGTTAATCGTACCATGAAAACTTTGCAGGATTTTAATAGTTTTTGGTGAAGTATGATATTGTTAGTAGTAAATGACTTTCTGCTGATTCAAGACTGTAGGAAACTTGTGCCTTTATAAAATATTTCCAGCTGCTAATGTTTCTTTTGTCATATTTAATTATTCTGGTTCAGAATATGTGGTATAGATTTCTTCAAGTACATGGGGGTTATCAGTTTAGTTATGTCTCTTGATGCTGAAAATTTGCTGATTTTGTTTCTGATTTCAGCTTGTTTTATTAGGCTTTTCTTAGGCTTCTTCCATAAAGTTGTTGGTTTATTAGGATGTCGAGGTCCATTCCTTTGCCAGAGGGTAAGGTTTAATGGATTCTGCAAGTGAAAATTAGGGGCAGATGAAGCGAAGTTAAATGATCTGCTTTCGAATGTGATGATGGTCTAAGCTTTAATGTACATCTGTAGTTTTAGCATAGATGGTGTATTAGTGCAGTAGAACTATATACCAATCAGGTATACTGATATACCATTTGGGTATCACATTGTATTTGACTCACCTTTTTTCCTGCAGCAACTAGATGTAAGTAGTGACATGAGTTGCAAAGCGTGCGCATTTTCGGTATCACGTTGTATCTGGTGCACCATTTGTATTTCTGCGCATATTTTGTTTTAGCCATATTAGTTCAATACCATTATATACCAGCGAGGTATACAAATATAACATTTGGGTATCACCTTGTATTAATGTACCTGATGATGTACAATAACTGCATGTAAATGGCTTCCAATTTGTTATACTTCAATACAGACATGAGTTGCAAAGCGTGCCCATTTTGTTAACAAAGTATGTACAAATGTTGCATTTGCAGCACCACTTCTATTTCTGCACATATTTTGATACTAATAAGATATACAGATATACCAATAAGGTATACAGATATACCACTTGGGTATCACATATATATTTTAGCATCTTTTTTCCT